TGGAATAAAAGCATATAAAAAGAGAAACTCATGCATCTGATTACATGGCAGAAATAAATGGCAGAAAAAAATAACATGATAGAAAAACAACATAAAATAAACATAATTGACAAATTGGTAAAAATATTTGCAATACGTAAAACAGGTAAAGGGCTACTATCCCTAATATATAATAAATAAATCTTAAAAATTAGGGGGAAAAAGAAAAAAAAACCCTCACCAGTGGAAAAATGGGCAAAAAAATATAAAAAATTCAAAAAATTGATAAAAAAGTGGTCCTTAAACATTAAAAAGTATTCAACTATCCTGCTAAAGAGTGAGTAATACATAGCCAAATTACACAGAGGTAACATTTCTTACCCATCTTACTGTCACAAAGAGGTCATGGGAAAATAGGCCTCTGTCATACACTGACTGCAGTGGGCATACACATTGGTACAACCTTCATGGAAGGGGTCTTAGCAATTTTCAGCAAAACCACATATGCGTTTACATTCTGACACAACATTCCCACTTCCAGAAATTTACCCTGAAGATAGACCTGCAACAACATGAAATACATAGTTTTTTCATATATTTCCTTTGTAACATTGTTTGTAATTGCAAAATATGAAAATAATCCATATACTCATAGATAGAAGAGTGGTTTAGTAAGTGCTTATACAGTTACCCAGTGGAGTACTATAAGACAATTTTTTAAATGAGGAAGATCTCTATGAACAAATCTGCACTGATTGCCAGGATATATTTTAAATGAAAAAGGCAAAGTTCACGTAATCATCTAGAGACTGCTAATTTTTGCATAAGAAACAACATGAGGTAAGAAAATAGACATATATTTGTTCATCTGTGCAAACAGGAACACAGGAAGCATTTACCAGGGATTAATGAGACTTACTGTCTTCAGGGGATGGGCGGGAATGGGGTGGAAAGAACAGACAATGGGAAAGGGGAGAGTTTCCACTCCTCTGATTATAGTATTTTGTGTAGCTCTGACTTCAGGAACAGTGTTGCCATTTCACATAAAGCAAACAACAACAACAACAACAAAAACAAAACTAGCAAGGATGGAGGAAAAAAATCATTAAAATAAAATACTGTCAGAACCATATAAACTTCACTACATTTCAAATGAAGTACTACATATACTGAAGTGAGGAGGGAAACCAGTATTCACCCAGGGAACTTTATATTATTCTTTAAATTGAGATATGATTAACACAATATTCACCCTTTTAAAGTGCAGTTCAGTGAGTCTTGTATATTCACAAGGTTGTATAATTAGCGCTACCCAATTCCAGAATACATTCATCTTTCTAAAAATAAATGTCAGACTCATTAGCATGCACTCACTATTCTTCCCTCTCCCAGCTCCTAGCAATCACTAATCTATTTTCAGTCTCGATGGATTTACTTATTTTGGACATTGCATATAAGTGGAACCATATTGTGTGTTTGGCGTCTTTGTTAGCGTGATATTCTTAAGGCTCATCCGTTCACGTTGTAGTCTGTATCAATACTTCATTCCTTTTGATGCCCGAATCACAGTCCATTGTATGTATAAACCACACTGTTTACTCATCATCAGATGATGGATGTTTGGGTTGTTTCTTTTTTTAGCTATTATGCCACTATGAACATTCACATTCAAGTTTTTATGTGAACATGTTTTCAATTCTTTTGGGCATGTATGGCTATGGGTGAAAATTCTGGGTGACATGAGACTTTCATCATGCCTATGTTGGTACATCTGATAGTGTCCCACAGGTCTCTGAGAATCTGTTCATTCCTTTTTGGCTTTTCTTCATAATTTCTATCTCATTATTGATATTCTCTATTTGGCAAGATGTTGTTCTCAGACTTCCTTTTAGCTCTTCAGGCAGTTCACCTTGGCTCTTTGAACACATTTAAAATAGTGTCTTCAATGTCTTTTTTGAGTAAGTCTGAAGTCTGGGCTTCCTCCGGGAATTTCTATTGCTTTTTATCACCCCATCAATGCATGGACCGTTCTTGCTTGTTTTTTGTGCATGTCTCATAATTTTTTGTTGAAAATTGGACATTTTAAATAACATAATGTTACAACTCTATAAATCAGATTCCCTTCCCTCACCAGGTTTTGCTGTTGTTGCTGTATTTTGCCGTTTAGTGACCTTTCTGAACTATATATGTGTAAAGTCTATATTCTTTGTTGTGTATGAAATATCTGATTCACATGCTTAGTAGTGTGTTAATAATTGGACAGATTTCCTTCAATGCCTGAAATCAATACTTCTCTTTGTATTGGGGACTCTGTGTGTTGGGGCACACCTTTAATACTTAGCCACAGTTAACAGCTTCTCTTCAGTCTTCACCTACTTATGCAGTGCCTCAAGGTCAGCCACTGGTGGGAGTTTAGGGCCTTCTCAGCTTTTTTCTGAATACGTACACAGTTTTATGCATGTACATAATCTCCTTGATTTCAAAAAATAAGTCATAACTTATCAAAGTCCCTATCTTTTAGTTGTTTAACCTTTCTAACTATTTGTGTGTAAGGTCTATATTCTTTGTTGTGTATGGTCATTGAAATCTCTGATTCATTAAGCTTAGTAGTGTGGTTATTTTGGTTAAAAAGAGTAATAGAAAAAA